CTTTTATAATTTTGAAAAATATAAAGTGGGGTGGTGTGTGCTGCTGGGCCCCTTCTCCTTGAATCCCAACATTCATACACGATAGCAATGGCAGTGCAATAGTAGACAGGACATGAAATTTTGCTATCAGCGTGGTAGCAGGCAACCCCACCAGGTACTCATTAATGTCCCTGGATGAAGAAAAGTGATGCAAATAAATTGTTGGGATTGAAACTCTAAACTTGGGAAACCAAACTGTTCCTGTTGTGCAAGACCGCTACTACCAGATCTGGCATGATGAGTTTCGCAGCTGGAATCTAAGAATAATGATGATGATGATGTGCTGTAGAATCCATTACAGTAATTCAAGGTGTCATCTTATTTGTATTTATTGTGTGTGTATATTAGCGATGTCAAGTACTGTACTCTACTTTTAAAATAAGCTTTGAGCTTAGAATTTTTAATTAATCTCAACGCACCTGATATGGTACCTGATATAGTATAATGTATGTCTGTCTCCATGGCGACTATATGCGAATACATGCCTGAATTGTAATGCTATCTTGAATAATACTTGACTGTCTGCTGATCTTTGTTCAGCATGCTGTAACCAGACATACAAAATGAGACATAATTGATTACCTGATTTGATGTCATGATAAACATAACAAAATAGACAAGAAATCCTATTCCCCTTTCACTCATTCAAGATTTTTGCACAATATTTCAATTTTTTTTTAATGGCTTTAGTGCTGTGATGTTGTAGTGGCATTTTGTGTTTTTTTTTGTATAACTTGACTCTCCTTGTAGAAAAATGTTGAATACACATATTGTCAAACACACAGCTCTAAACATATATGAATTAATTTCAATCAATCAGTTGTTCCATTTGTATGGTGCCATTCCAACATTCATTGCTCAAGTGTTGCCATTTAAAAAAGAGATTACTGAAAAAGCCTGTGTGTTTTGAGAAAGTGAAGGTGAATGTCTAATTTGTAATGGTACTGCAAAAAGTTGGAAAATACTGACACATTTATTAGGCGTGCATCCACTAGATACATCACTGATCCCCTGTTGTCCCCTCACAATTAAACCTTTCCACCAATAGCCATACAGAAAACATTAAATAGATTAATTTAAATATTGTTAATAATAAGCTAGGAAGGGATATTTTAGATAAAGGATTTCAATTTTGTTACCATATTTTTTTTTCTTTTTATTACTATTAAATCATTGAAGACCAGTAGATGAATTAAAATAGTGAAAAAAAAAAAATTTAATTTGATTTTTTTTTTTGCTATTTGGTACAGCAGCAGATTAATTGGTCATGTAGGGCACAAGAAAAATTCTGTGGTGCTGATGCTCCACCGCTACAAATTTACGTTATAGTTTATAGTTTTTTTATACCTTGTTTCACAAAATAATTTTGTTAAAGATCGTCAGAGGAGGGCAGAAGGAAGTTTTAAAAAAAAGGTTAGCTAGCACTATCGGTTAGCAAGTTGAGCATGTTTTTGTTATCAACAAATTACACGTACGCATTTCTAATTTCCAGTTTCCTATTGGCCAGTAATCCCGCCTTCTTGGTGTACGGATTCCAATTTTCTTTTATGAACAGATGGGTGAGCGTGTATGTTTGCAATCTGTATCCTGCTAACCAATGTTATCTGCCGTGTATGAATTAATTATTATATAGCTTCATCCCTCTGAGGTAGTGCCCCCAACTTTCCAGTCGCACCCATATTCCCTGTGTCCAGTGGCGTGCGAGGGGTGGCGCACCCCCCCAAAAAAATCAAGGGCAAGTAGTTAAAAGTCATCTAAAATCACCTTATTTTGCGAATTAACACCCCTCAACTGATCATCAAGCCCACACTCCTTCACCTTCGTGTTGCCCACATCTAGATGTGTATAAGACCTCATTTCAAGACTTCTAGATATGCCACTGCCTGTGTCAGATCAATGACTCAAGCAGGTCTGCTTTGCTTTGTTTGCTGAACTACAGGCCTGGAGATACTATGGATATATATAAACCAAAATTCTTATTATAGCTTGAGTGCCATTGTATAAATTTACTTAAATAATTCTGTCAATATTTAGGCTTATATTTAGACGTGAATTTTTATTTTTAGACCGATCGCTTGTTGATAATCTATACATACAATCTGAATATTATAATAATATTTTCTAAGTTGATAATAAAGTTTAATAGTATTCTAACCTTATTTGAACCTGGTTAAATCACCAGTAAATCAAGGGTGTTATTTGCTATGATAATGTGTATATATTTACTTCATTACCATTACTGATAATCAGTCATCTATAATCACCTTATTTTGCGAATTAACACCCCTCAACTGATCATCAAGCCCACACTCCTTTACCTTCGTGCCCCCCCCCCCAATCAACACCCCCATTTCAAAACTTCTAGATATGCCACTGCCTGTGTCAGATCAATGACTCAAGCAGGTCTGCTTTGCTTTGTTTGCTGAACTACAGGTGTACAGGCCTGAAGATACTATGGATATATATAAACCAAAATTCCTATTATAGCTTTAGTGCCATTGTATAAATTTACTTAAATAATTCTGTCAATATTTAGGCTTATATTTAGACGTGAATTTTTATTTTTAGACCAATCGCTTGTTGATAATCTATACATACAATCTGAATATTATAATAATATTTTCTAAGTTGATAATAAAGTTTAATAGTATTCTAACCTTATTTGAACCTGGTTAAATCACCAGTAAATCAAGGGTGTTATTTGCTATGATAATGTATATATATTTACTTCATTACCATTACTGATAATCACACTCTTAAGTCAAGCTGTTAACCGCATTGCGCCGATACTGTTGTTTCTATTTATATATAATACATACTGTGCAGTTTTATGAACATTAATGTTGTCTGTCTTTTGAACATATTTTTATTATTACAACAGATATCAACTCAACATTTTCTATTGTGTTAATATCAGCTGAGTGTAGTATGACAGATAAGCGATTTTAGTCTTCATGTCTTGGTCTAAATATAGACCAGTCACACTTACAGTACATGTTAGATACAATTAGTATCACTAAGAGGAACTGACAGACCAAGCATTTAAGGCGTGATCCAGGCCACTATAAGTCATGAGCTGGGGTTAAAAATAGTCATTAATAATTATTACTGTTTTTTTTTTGTTTATGTTACATAGCATTATGAAATTACAGTATACAATTGTTTTTAATTATTTCCGTTTAGTGTACGATGCATGCTCTACTAATTGCTTTATAAGTCAATCGCCGTCTTTTAATTTTAGTTTTTTATAACCAACTGTTGTAGCAGCTATCGGTTGCTATAGTGATATGATCAATATACGTGTGCGTATTTACTTTTAGCTATGCGTATGCTGATTTTTGCTCCTGCAGTACGCTTTTAACTCATCTAACATCAGCAGTACAGTACGGATACGATGAATAGGCCTAACTATTGTGTTAGAAAGAACTTGTTTGTAATGCTATATTGATAGACTTTCGTCAAAGAAATAAACATTTCAGCATTCGAGAGGGAATACAGTGACTGACGTCCTTTTTGGTCGGTGCATGCAGACAGGTAAAATCGTGCGATGATTTCATAACTAGGCCAGGCTACGGCCAATGCTTAGTAATAGTAGGAGGAGGCCCGGGCGGCCTGCCTGGCCGTAGACCTACATCTAAATGTGTTCCTTGAGTCTTTAAAATAGGTCTAGAATATTTCTATTAAACGTTCACTTGGTTGTGTTTATGAGGGTCCATTGATTCAATGAATTCCTTAACTGTTCATACTTAATATGGAATTTGAAGTAACTTTCTTCGGGTTCTAATTAAGCTTGTTTTACGAAAGCAATTTTCAATTACAATTCAAGTTTTATCGTGGTGCGCGATGTATTCGCTGTGGAGACGAAAAAATGAGAATTTTTTTTTGCACACGAACCTTAAAAAGATCAAGCCGAGCGTCCAGTAATAAAAAATTATTGGACGCTGGGGAATAGGCAAATAACATTGGGAGTTACAGTGATGACGTCACGATTGATTTATAATATTTATTATTGATTTTTTTTTGTATAGCATTATACCTGACTCCCAAAAACTAGAAAGCTATCTATCCATATATGCTGTCTGTATTGAACCAATAAACCTGAACAATAAAATTAAATATTGTAATTACTCATTTGCAAGTCATTACCTTTCAGTCAAAAAGATAGAAGAGAAAGCTAGCATAAAGTTATACTGTCTGCATATCATGAAGCTAATAAAAATAAATAGTATCTAGCATTTCAAAGGCCTGCTTATTACCAGCTTGTTGTGACAATGATTCACTGTTATAGTTTGATTAAAAATAAGTGAAATATATAATTATTATAGTGAGGCATGTGCCAACCATATTTTGTAAAACATCTGAATACAATTTCCATTTATTTACTTGAAATTTAAGAAGAAAATTATAAATTAATAATAAAGATATAAATATTGATAGAATTATTCCTAAATATACAAGCCACAGAAAATAAAAACTAATAATAGCATCTCGATATGCTCACTCCAGCAGGATGCGGTTACAACCGATTTGGAATGAGATACACATGGAGTGTTAGAAGTAAATTAAATTAGTAGATTCCATGTATAGGGAGAGGAGAGAAATTCCCTTATAATTGCATAATAATAATAATACAAATTGCACGCTATTTCTCTTTATGAACAAAAATTAATATTCAATCCTTCTAATGAAACTAACATTTAATATGTAAAATCCAATAATTATGCAGTGTACAACATGTATACTCACTATATCCCTTTAAACTGTGTTGTAAATCAGAATTCCCCATTTAGATAATGGTATAGTTCAAAATTTATGGGCTGATGTTATTGATTGCATCATCAGAAACTAAGCTTTGTGATTGGTTAGAAGTGGCATGGTTTTGAGGCATGGAAAATGCTTCATGGATGCCTGCTCATGCGGAAATAAGAAGGTGGCCTGATCATATTTGAATGGTGGAGCAATATTATCAGTGTGTGCAAACAGAAACCTCTCCTTATGCAATATAAAAGCAAGGGGAGTTGAGGAAAGAGGTAATTTCGAAGACGAAAGCAAGCAAACGCAAGTTGAATTTTTTTGCAACCGAGTCCGGTTCTTCCACCTTGGGTGTGCTTTTTGTTTAGAGGTAGGATTAATCCGATATTCTGAATTTAGAATTTTTTTTTTAGTAATTATTATTGGTGATGTGGTGTTAGTCAATTGGTAGAATAGGGCAGGTAATATAGCTCCTTGGTAATTACTACATCTGTATTTTGTTGCATATACAAATGCTAACATTGTTCTTTTTTATATTGAAATAACAATATTTATTAAGTATTTTGTATTATTAAATTCATATTTTATTCATTTAAATTTAATTCTTATGGCAATTTTTATTAACCTATATCAAGCAACAATGGTTTTTTTTTTATAATATATATAAAATTCCTCTAAATATTTATTATTGTTTAAGTACAGTATTTTATATTATTAAATTATTATTTAAAATATTTTAAATTCATTATTATAAAGATAAAAATTAATTGTAAGTACTGTATACATTTTGAATAAGCCATTTGTTATTTATTATAATTTCAGTTCTTACTAATAAATATCTTGTATGTCATACAGGCCCTTATCTAGGGGGGGTTTTATGGTTCGGGAGAACCCCTATTTTCTAGAAAACCCCCCTCTTTTATGGCGAACCCCCCTCTTCAAATTTCCCAAATAAGACCTCCTCACGCCCAGAAAACCCCTCTTGGAAGGACCTGGCTACGGGCCTGTCATAATTTGTCAACCTATTTGAATTTTTTTTATCACTGTTGAATGATTAGATTTTTATTATAGTTTTTAATATTCATTTCATAATTTTCATAACTACCAAATATGAAACCATGGTTTGCTATACAGTAAAACAATAAAAACAGAACGATGAGGTGATCCTGCACACTCAGCATAAATTGTCACGCTTGACTGATTTTACACACAGTAAAGAACTTGTAACTAGTCAATGGATAACATGATTGGCTGTTTGCCAATCACTGTTACCATGGAAATTTAGATCAGGTGATTTTTTTTTTTTTTTTTTTTGCGGTAAATAATGCCATTTAGGATCAGCAGATGTATTAAATATTTGAATAAGCTTACCAAAGACTGTTAGCAAGGTCTATTATTATGTATACAACAGTAGCCATATATTTCTTTTCTCAGTATACATAGGCATAGGCAAAGGTGTGTCCCCTCCACCCCACCCCCACACTCTGTGGTGGTAAATTAGCTCACTAAGTTGGTTAAAAGGCTAAAAATGGCCATTAATTCACAACCCAACCCGGGTTCACATTTATTCATCATCATTTTAATGATTAATAAGACATACTTCCATAGTACAGTATTACATTGAGTATAGAAATTTTAGTCAATGAATAACCTGATTTGCTCTTTGCCCACTGTTACCATGGCAACTTCGATGAGGTGATTTTTTTTTATACTAATAATGCAATTTTAAATCAGGTGATATATTAAATAATACAAATCAGTTTACCACAGCTAAGGAAGGTGGTCTATAAAATAACAGTGACATGTATTTTTCTTATCTAAAATTTATCATGTACAGTACAGTAATTAGAAAGTATGTAATGATATAAAGCTGAATAATTTGACACTAAGAATTCGGTGACACTGTCGCAGTTGTTTTCCTTTCAAGTGCGTATTGGAATTACATTCATTAAAATTTATTCAACATCATTTTCATGCTTTGCAGTCAAGATTTTTCATATTTGCAATTATTTGTCGATTAGCGTTTAATGGTTTACAGTAGATTTACAATTTAATATTTGGTTTTTTACTATAGACAGGAACTGTAAATGGAAATAGCTAAATTGTATTTGGAATTGTATTCTAATGTTGTTTTAGAATGATTATTGATGATTCAAATAAATTTGGTAATTATTGAAGAAATCTCTCATGCTTGTGTTAGTGTGTTAATTAATTAGAATGGTCTCACCTTGTTTCATTTAATTAATTTTCCTTTCTATTTAATAATTTTTGTTAATCAGCCCATATTTTTGGATCCGTGCCAGGATTTGTCTGACGAGAGGGAGCATAAATTGTCCGCATAAGTGGGCGTGGCTGCATAATAAGCTGTGGCTGCATAAGTGGGCGTGGCTGATGGGCAGCTCAGAACCTCTCAGACTGAGTCTAGGGGGTGAACTCTTCACAGTGCCTCCAATGTTTTTGATATATAATTCTATATTGCTTCTATATTTCTGATAATATTTTAACTTGTATAATCGTATTCACAAATTATTCATCATTTTTTTAATTGCAGCAACAAGCAGAATGGAGTCGTCACCGGACGATATTGTTATTGGAGGTATTTCAGGGCGGCTCCCTGAAGCTAATAATCTGGATGAATTCTGGCAACACTTGATAAATGGAGAGGACATGGTTACAGAAGATGACCGTAGGTGGTTGCCAGGTAAGCCAAGTCCTTTTACCAAATTTTCATTGAGATTCAGAAAGACACCATACAGATGGACATTTCAGTATGTGACATATAAGGAGTTGTTTCTATAATGAAAAGGACCAGGGTGAGATTTGAACTTAACAAATTGCTATTGGATGCATTGGCATTAGTATTTATTACTTTTAGTATTACTTTTATTTCTGAATTTTTTTGGTCTTGATCTTAAACATCACATAAGAGTATAAAAGATATGGGACAGGTGCGGATTCCTCCCTCCCTCCTCTCCCGTTTTGCCACTAAATTTTAAAATTACAATGCATATCAATGTTATGTATTGAAATTAGCGCTACTCACTTATCTATTCTGAAAATGTTGTTCCCCCCTACCCTCGTTTGAAAAATTCTGGATCCGCCCCTGATGGAGATTTTTATTTTTTGTTTCCATTAGGTCTTTATGGTCTTCCTAAGAGGAATGGAAAGGTGAAGAACCTATCACATTTTGATGCTGTATTTTTTGGTGTGCATGCGAAGCAAGCCCACACGATGGATCCACAGCTCCGGCTGATGCTGGAGATCACTTACGAAGCAATTATTGATGCAGGTATTTATATTCTTAAGCCCTACCAAAAAAATGTGACGTGCCTAAATATGGTCATGATGACATCACATCATAACCATATATGAAGCACATCATGACTAAATATGGGCATAATTATATAGTTGGAATTAGAAGGAACAACCATTATGCCCAGGAACAATGGATCTTTTCGCTAAGCCCCGCCCCTTGGATATTGTTGCCCAAGTCCCAGTGTTAAAACATACACAATCCTGTGCGTTTGTTAGATACACATTTGGTTGTAGACACACATGTATTCCAGGCCCTGTTCTGATTGGTCAGTTAAGTTTGATTGACACTTTGAAAAGATCCATACATTCATCTTGATGTACCTTATGGGAGGAGGGGTGTGACAGATTCCTTGCAACACGACTACTGCCAACTATTGACCATTTGTTTCTCACTTTAGGCATTGATCCTGCTACTCTCCGTGGTAGTAACACTGGTGTATTTGTTGGTAGTAGCGGATCTGAAGCTAGTGAAGGGTTTGGAGCTGACCCTGAAACCCTTCAAGGCTATGCTATGACAGGCTGCAATCGAGCCATGTTAGCCAACAGAGTCTCATTTTTCTTTGACTTCAAGGGTAAGTTTTTTGACATTTTTCATAGTATTTTATGAAGTGGAAAATATGTATTAAGATGACTTCCACAGAGTGATACAAATCCAGAAGAATAAATGTTGAATATTTATGAGAGAGGACTTAGGCAGGCAAGGTCTTATATACTGTGCTAATAAGCAAACAGGTGAAGTGAAAGTTTCTAAGAGAGGCAATTATATAGGGATTTATTCAACTTGCATTTTATGAAGGGTGTTAATGTACTCTAAAAATAGGCTTGTGATAGGATCATGAGTATATTGCAGAACTAAGTCAAAATTGCTCTTATCGGACAGGGTGCTGAATTTCACTTCTATAGCATGTGGTATATCTGTGCAAGTGCAGTATACTAAAATATGAATTATTGGCACCCTGTAGAAAATTCATATACTATGTGAATTCCTTTTCTGTCTTGTAAATAATTTTCAGTTTTTTTGTTGAATGCTTTTTAAGGTTGGCATTATTTTGACTTGCTAATAAGTATAATAAAATGTTCAACTAAAGGATTTTGTATGTTTTTGTTTACTTGAATTTACTGCTTATGTTTATTTTTGTCACTAGTTTATACAGTATGTAGATTATTATTAAGCACTTACCAGTAACAATAATAAATGAATACATTAATAATAATAATAATTAAAAAGTACCAGGATCACTGGTGTTATGCATCTAATTGGAAAAGACATGTTACAAATTTTGTTAATTTATCTACATATATTACATTGTTTTTGTCACTTTCACAGCCATATAACTATATTTTTACCTTTTTAACGATATTCAAATTGTTGAAATTTTCACAGGTCCAAGCTATGCTTTAGATACAGCTTGTTCATCAGGATTGCTTTGCTTGGAGAATGCTGTCCAGGCGATCAGGAATGGCCAGTGTGACGCTGCCATCGTTGGCGGTCTTAACGTCCTCCTGAAGCCACAGAACGCGCTGCAGTTCTTAAGACTTGGCATGCTCTCCCCTCACGGAGCTTGTAAATCATTTGATGTTGAAGGTAATTTCTGTCAAATTATAAAATTTATTCATTTATTTAATTTTTTTAATGTGAGAATCTGAATTATTCTGTGAGTTTTTCTACCTTCTACGTCTACCTACTTCTACCTCTATCTTAGGAGAGAAAATTACTGACATGTTCGAACCTAGAACTTTAGAATTGGAAGGCTGGTAACCTAACCACTGAACTATGGTTGAAATTATAAAATTTATTCATTTATTTAATTTTTTAAAAGTGAGAATCTAAATTATTCTGTGAGTTTTTCTACCTCCTACGTCCACCTACTTCTACCTCTATCTTAGGAGAGAAAATTACTGACATGTTCGAACCTAGAACTTTAGAATTGGAAGGCTGGCATCCTAACCACTGAACCATGGTTGAAATTCTCTATCTCTCTGTTAATGACATATGAGGCTTGCCATCCCAATACCAGCATTAGTGACTAAAAAATACAAATTGACTTTTTAACATATTCTTATTCTTAAATTGTAAGCTTTAAAATGTCATTTAGTGGAATCGACTTACTATTGCCAAAAAGTTAGGAGTACAATTTATTAGGCATTTTCTTCACGAGAGTATACAATACAGCCACAGCCTTATGTTAATTACTCAGTTTAATATTTAGCGACAGTACACTTGTTTTGGGATGGCATACCACAGTTAACATTAATTTGCAATGCTCTCTGTTATATGTAAGATGACATATCCTACCACTTAGGTTTGTAATCAATCAGACACATTATAATTTCAGGCAATGGCTACTGTCGATCAGAAGGATTTGTTGCCGTCATGCTCACAAAACAGTCTGTTGCTAAGAGAAGTTATGCAACAGTTGTTCATTCTGGAACAAATACAGATGGCTTCAAAGATCAAGGTAAACACTTATTTATTCGACATTAATATATTCTAATTTATTTATTTTCATTAATTTACTACTAAGATTATTATTATGATGATTATGATAATAAGGGTTTATTCATAATTTGATTTTTTTTCAGTAGGACATTTAATTTTTGCACAATTTCTCCTGTCAGCGACTGTGTCCTTTAGAGCATCGTTGAATTTCTTGAGCCTTGGTGTGGCTTTATTTAGTCCTCCCCCTACTGGTGTATCCTGACTGAAAGGTTCATATAGTACAACAGGTCAATATTGTTTCTCTCATTTAAATTTTCAGGAATAACCTTCCCATCAGGCCTCATGCAGAAACAGCTCCTTGAGAAGATCTACACAGAAGCTAAGGTTGATCCAAAAGATGTGACATACGTCGAAGCTCATGGTACGGGAACAAAGGTTGGTGACCCGCAGGAAGTTAACACAATAGCTGAAGTGTTCTGCAGCGGTCGTGCTGAAGGCGATTCGTTACTGATTGGATCCGTCAAGTCCAATATGGGTCACTCTGAAGCATCCTCAGGACTAGCTGCATTGGCAAAGGTCGTCTTAAGCTTTGAAAATAATCTGATTCCACCAAATTTGCACTTTAGGAATCCAAACCCAGATATTCCCGGCCTTCTTGATGGCAGGCTGAAAGTTGTCACTGAACCAACAGCATTTACAGGCGGTTACGTTGGTCTTAATTCTTTCGGGTTTGGTGGTGCAAATGTCCATGTGATATTAAAACCAAACGTGAGGAAGAACGTATCAAATGTATTGACTGTCCCACGACTTGTCACATGTGCCGGCCGAACGGAGCAATCAATTCTAGCGCAGACTGACGCCATTCAATCTCACAAGAATAACTCTGAATTTCTTAATCTGATCACTGAAGTGTCTAAGCAGTCTCCAGCAGGTTTACCAGTCCGTGGATATGCAGTGGTGCAAGACTCTGATCTGTATGTTGACACCAAGTCTGATGTGAGCACAAACCAACAACAGTTATGGTAAGGAACCTTCTGCCTTCTTAACTGTAGAAAGATATCTGCCAAGTTCATCAGAATGCTATTAATTGTTATTGCTATTCTCCTTTTTACCCAAACGCCCAGTAGACTATCATTAGTCTTTCGTTTGAAACCGTCTTAACAGACGTTCTCCAAACCGCATGACATTAGCGTTCCTGATCTTGTGGCAATCTTTATAATTCTGTCCTGCCATCGATTTTTTATCATCCTTCCTACTAGTCTTCTACATTGTAGATTCTAGTTTTATTTTTATATAAATTTTTTTTTTATCAGGTATGTGTTCTCTGGTATGGGATCCCAGTGGGCAGGAATGGGCCGTGACCTCATGTCAGTTGACATCTTCAGATCATCTATACAACAATGTCATAATTGGCTGTCAAAAGTTGATCCATCTATTGACCTGTGTGACCTCATCAACGCAGGAGACTCGGAGAAGCTTAAAGACACTGTTGTGTCCTTTGTGGGAATAGCGGCAATTCAGGTATGATTACTTAATTATTTTTTTATATATTTATTTGTGCGATGTGCCCATATATGGGCATGATAATGTCATATTACATCCAAATACTATATGGGCATTTAAAAAAAAATTTGTGGTGAAAGCTTAACAAGTGAACACCCAATGTTGTATAACACATGAATTGTACAACATATTCTATACAAATTGTTTTATATAGATTGCTCTGGTTGATTGCTTAAATGCCATTGGCCTCACTCCTGATGGGATTGTTGGCCATTCTGTTGGAGAACTAGGCTGCGGTTATGCAGATGGTAGTCTGAAAGCTGAAGAGGCTATCAAGGCTGCTTACTGGAGAGGGCGTTGTGTCAAAGATGCTAAACTTCCTCCTGGATCAATGGCTGCTGTTGGTAAGTGTGTATCAGTTTTATAAAGCTGTTATTCTAATTAGTATAAAGTTTACGTGTTGTTTATGTTATTTGATATTATGAATTATTTAAAAATTAAATTTTACTTTGAAGGCCTGACTTGGCAGGAGGCTAAAGAGCGGTGTCCAAAGGGGGTGGTCCCTGCATGTCACAACTCAGAAGACACTGTTACAATATCTGGTGAGAGAGATGCAGTGAAAAAATTTGTTGAAGAGCTTCAAGCAGAGAAAGTATTTGCAAGAGAAGTACAAAGCTCAGGCGTTGCATTCCATTCACACTTTATGAAAGATATTGCACCAGCTTTGAAGAAAGCACTCGATAAGGTAACTAGTATGTCTTTCAGATTCTACAATTATGATATTAAGAAGCACTACAAACCTTTTATTGTAGGTGGTAATCTAATCTTTATATAATAAGCAGTATTGAATTTATTTCAATTTAATGTTGATTGCTAACAGCATATTCTATTAGGCGAGACTTATTTTATTCCTTGTTTCGCTAACTTATTTTTTTTTTAAGATCGTCTGAAATTTCCATTTTTTTTTCTCGGCGACTGCTGCACAAATTGGCCAAAAATAAAATGTTATTTTTATTTGAAATCATTGTTATTGGCGGGGGGGGGGGATAAACAAGGTATAAAAAAAGTCATGCCTTATACACTAGCTATGACACTGGTTTATAAATTGAATGATTCTTTTATGCTTGAGCTGAATACCTGTATTAAAAACTAAATATATTAAGGATGCTATTCTCAGTAGTTGTGCATGATAAATTTAGATCCATCAAAGCAGTTGTAATAATGGGCTAACACTCTGTTGTGTTGTTTTTAAGCGATTATATTTACAGTCATGACACTAATGATTATAATTATTAATAATAATTAATAATTATTATTATTATTAATAATTAATTAATTAATTATTATTATTAATAATTGAGAAATACATCTTTGTTTTTGTTTTTTTGGTAGGTGATAACCTCTCCGCAACGAAGGTCATCCCGTTGGATAAGTTCATCTATTCCAGAATCTAACTGGGACAGTGCCCTCGCCCAGTATTCATCTGCTGATTATCATGTCAACAACCTCTTGAGTCCTGTCCTCTTCCAAGAAGCTCTAGCACAGGTTCCCTCTGATGCAGTCGTTGTTGAAATTGCACCTCACTGCCTCTTACAAGCCATTCTTAAGCGTTCACTGCACCGTGACTGCAAAATCATTGGTTTGACCAGTCGTAAGGAAACGGACAATTTGACCTTTTTCTTAAAAGGCATTGGTAAAATTCATTTGAGTGGCATCCCTGTAGATGCCAACCAGCTCTATGAACCAGTTACATATCCAGTTTCAAGAGGAACACCAGCATTAGCACCTTTGGTCCATTGGGATCATTCACAAGAATGGGATGTCCCGAGTGTTGAGACGTTTGGAAGTGGTGGAGGAACATCTGCTACTGTTTCCAAGTTCAATATAGGTAGGTAAATCTTATCAATATTTAATAGAGTTGTTATTCAGTTTATCTTAAATTGTTTCAATATGTTGTATTTGTACTAATTTCTGAATAAAAAAAAATAAAAAAATTTGAAATATAAAAAAAAATATTTAATAGAGTTGTAGGATTCAAAAGAGTAGCAGACCAACCGAAAGATGGAGAGATGAGCAGAGAAAGAAAACAGGGAGAATATCCTGGAATTGACTGACAAAAGACGGACACAGATGGCATGATTTCGGAGAGGTTTTTTCCCAGCAGTGCGATGCTACAGGCTGAAAATTAATTAATTTTAAAACTTCGTGATTGTTTTTTTTTTTTCTAGATATTTCCCCAGAATCTCCAGATCATTACTTAACTGGTCATTGTATTGATGGGCGTGTCTTATTTCCTGCTACTGGTTACCTTTGTCTTGCATGGCGTGCACTAGCTCGTTACAATAACACGCTTCCAGAACAGACACCAATAGTATTTGAGGACGTTCACATTCATAGGGCCACAATTTTAACAAAGAAAGGTAAGTGGAGTGTAGCAATTGTTTAATAATAATAATTTGACAGGGTTCATTGAACTGTCAAATTGACACAGGACAAACAATTAAGGGATGTTGTTCGCATTTGGTGACCTCAGTTTACACTTGATCCATGATCCATAAGCATTCCTGTGTAGAGGCTGACTCATTCTCAAAATTACTTGGCACTTTCTGCTGGTCTTATTCTGATAAACTGATTTCACCAACTGAGGCTGTCAAACCAATCAACTTCTTCACTCCTCTTTATTTTGTTATGTATTACAGGTTCAGTGATGCTGGAGGTACGTCTAGCCCCAGCATCAAACACATTTGAGGTCGCTGAGGGTGATCAGTTAACTGTATCTGGCAAGATTTACATCCCAGAAGTCGAGCAATCAACAGTGGATGGTTGTGCCAATGATGCAGAGAACATGAGGTTGTTAAAGACCAAGGATGTGTATAAAGAGCTCAGGTTGCGAGGCTATGACTATGGCCCTACATTCCAAGGCATTGCATCGGCTAACAATGATGGTAAGCTTACAGTCCACTTATTAATTTCAGAACCAGTATGAATACTCATACATTAAGCTCCACACTATCAAGTTTTACATGTCAATTTATTTGATGTGCCTATATATAGGCATGGTGATGTCATATTACACCCAAATATGGGCATATCACATTTATTTGTAACATTAAATTTGGACAGTGGACAGAGCTTTAGCAGTTCCTACCATGTCATTTTTTTTTATATCAATATTATTAAAATATGTATATTTTTAATTGTTTTAAAAATGTTATGTTATTCAACAGTTTGTCGTACAAAGTACAAGCAAAATACAATAAAATATGATGAATTACATTGAGAAATGCGAACAGACACATTCCAGGATTTCCAGGGCAGACAAACATGTAAAACTCGGGCACCAGTTGGGGTGTGTCTGTCCATAGGCTATTGCAACATTGTAAAATTATATACAATTTAAAATTAAGAGAAGATAACCTTATTATTCAACTGAGGGAAAATCTTTACTTGCCATCATATTATACAAAAAAATAATTAGTTAATAATAATATTGTTATTAATTAAAATATTGTCTGGAATTATTTATAATTTTTTAAATTATAAACATTTTATTTATAATCTATAAGATTTCACTCATATTTATGCAAATTACTTTTGTGTGATGCAGATACGGAATTAATTTGAATCTTCTCTTACTCTTAGGTTCCACTGGTAATTTGCGATGGACTGGTAACTGGGTGTCGTTTTTAGATACCATGCTACAGATGTCTGTGTTAGGTCTACCAGGACGTAGTTTACGCCTACCAACACGCATCCAGTCTATTTCTATTAATCCCACAGTGCAAGCTGAAGTTGTTGAAAATGAAACAGGTTTGTGAAGGATAATAGCATAAATAATAATGTATTTTCGTATTTATTTTTTGTATGCTAATTATTTTAGTCTCGCATAATAATACTTACGTAGAAAACACTTAAATCTACATTTTTTTTTTTCTGCCATTAGTTGGAAATTACATTCCTGTTAAAAGAAATAGTAATGGAAAAAGTATGATTGAAAGTAATTTGTTTCATATTGAATTGTTTTTAAAACCTTGAATTTGATTAAATTTTAGAGTTGGCTGTATATTTGGACAAAAAGACTGGTGTATGTAAATCTGGTGGTGTTGAAATGCGTGGCCTCCATGCAACAGTGACCTCGCGTCGTCAACAGCAACAAGCACCACCCACTCTTGAAGATGTAACTTTTGTTCCATATTATGAATCTAAATTGATGAAGAATAATGAAAGCGTCTTAGACTACCAGTCATTCTGTCATAAATATGTTGGGTATGTTCTCCAGACATTGTCAGACAAATTCCAGACATCAAGTGATGGATTCCCTTACAAGAGCATGATGAACAGAGTGGTGGAAGACAAAGTAAGTTCTTTCTCGCAAGAGGATGTCAAACTCTATATAGATGCCCCTGAATGTGGCTTTGTCCGCATTGTCACAGACATCCTTGAACTGCCAGTATCTGGTGACTTTGAAAAACAGGTTTACAGAGTCATTGATAAACATGCAGAGATCTTAAGTCAAGACAAGATGCTGAAGGGACTTCTGAAGGGAAAACATCTAAAGAACTGTCTTGATGTTGTCCTTGAAAATTGCAATGTCAGAAACCTAAAAGTTGTAGAAGTTGGTGCTCGCAAAGGAAGGTTGTTTTCCAGAGTTGTTCCCCTACTTAGCTCACATCCAGCAGTTGAAGTGGACATCACAGTTACTGATCCAGAATTAAAGAACTTTGAACTTCTCCACTCAGCTTTGGAATCTGTGGAAGCAAGCGAAGTGGAATGGAACACATTGGATCAAGCACCAACCAGTCTTAATAAGACGCATCTTGTTGTCGTTGACGGACTGGCCAGAACAGCACCAGATATCCCCACAGCCTTAGCAAACATCAGAGAAATTATTCATGATGATGGTTTCCTTCTCCTCCATGAGGTCACTGTCAACTTTCACGCTGGATTCAGCTTTGATGGTTTCATCGATGGATTAATTCCGAAGGACAAGATTCCAAGGGAGCTTGGGATCTATCTGAATGGTGCCCAATGGATGACAGTGATCAAAGAGGCAGGATTTGAGGTTGTCAGTCGTAAAAGTGATGGCATGCTCTGTACGATGTATTTGTGCAGAAAAATCACACACAGTACTCCTAAGACTCTGCAGATGGTTAAAATTGCTGATTCCAACTTTGAATGGGTGGAGGAATTAAAGAGAAAAATCAGTGAAGGGGAAGAAAACAACAGTACTGAAAGAGTATGGCTTGTAGCTGAGCAGGTGTCCAATGCAGGTGTTGTTGGGATGGTCAACTGTCTAAGACAAGAACCGGGTGGCCAACGAGTAAGGTCAGTCTATTTCATGAATACTTGCCTTCATATTGTACACATGATCAATTTTTTTTCTCGACACATTTGTGTGATGTTCCCATATATGGGTATGATGATGACATATTTTACTCACATTTGGTCATATAAAATTTAATAACATCAGCAAAGCTTAATTCGAACACTTTAAACCCTGGATTAACTACCTCATTTATCACAAATCTATGAGTGTAAAAATCTGTATTATTACTCAAATATTTTCCTTAGTATCTAAAACAGATAGGTTCTTTTGCTATTTTTAAATATTGGTGTATTATTATATAGTCTTAATTATAAGTCATATTTTCTTGAAATTCACTTAAAAGCTGTATTTTATGTAGTTCCACACTTAATAAATAAACAATTTACATGTTGTTTTTTTGTATTCAGATGCATTTTTAATGGTGACCTTGATGGCAGTGACAACTTTGACCTTTCTCCATCAAATAAGATGATGTCAGATGTCTTAAAACGTGATCTTGTGATGAATGTTTACAGAAATGGCCAAATTGGTTCCTTTAGGCACAATGCACTAAGCAAAGGTTAGTTAGTCATGTTTACTGTTAATGAGATCCCAGATATAAAAGATATAATATTTAATAATAATGTTAAATAATGAATTAATTATGTTAAATAATGTTGGATAATGAATTGCATACTATTTACAATTGAAATTTCTGGCAGAATATTTAAAGATTTCTGTTGTAAAATATTTTTTAAATTAAAAAAAACTGTAACTTAATATTGATGCTTACCCGACAGTTTGTTAAATGAGCAGTCCAAAAGTTGTATTGTAAATTTAGTTAAGTTTCATATGGTGCTTTTTTTGAATAATTTTTTTCTTGCATTCCTTTTGACAAGTATAATACAAAATAAAAATATAATCATGTCTGATACACTCAAGCAAGTGTAAGGGTTCTTGCAAGGCATGGACGATTCTTAGAGATTGGAAAATATGACCTGTCTAACAACACCCCACTAGGTATGTTAATATGTATACAAGTTACAGTATAGGATTTATCTACACTATTATGTATGATAATGTCAAGAAATACACTGTAGGTATTTAATACGTAAATTAACAAGCAGTGTTTTGTTGGCACTTCCTGACACTGTTCGCGAGTCTCCCTCTATTTCTAATTTTTAAGACGAGGTTTAAGACCCACCTGTTTTGCTCTTTTTAATCTATTTTCTTTCCCTATTTTCTGTTTCAGGTATGGCAGTGTTCCTTCGCAATGTAGCGTTCCATGGAATCCTTCTGGATGCCCTCTTTGAAGACGGTAATGATGAATGGCAAATGGTTGCGGATCTTGTTACAGCAGGAATCAAGTCTGGAGCAGTGACACCACTAAGGACAACAGTCTTTGAAAAGAGTGATGTAGAGGGCGCTTTCCGTTATATGGCGCAAGGAAAACACATTGGAAAGGTCCTGGTTAAGGTTTGTAGATATAAGAGTTTTTTTATGAATTGCTATTACCAAAATGTGCTGGATCTTACAAATGCAGCATTGTCTGCAAATAGCAGTTGGTCCAACGTGAAGGTCCTAGCATGATGCAATCGCATGCGCCTTAGGTCAAACAGCTTACCATCCATGCCATGGCGTATGTTGATACTCATGTTTATTAACTAAAATTATCAGTATAAGTTTTTCCCCATCGTCTACACAGCATGCCATTAAACAATGCAACATACACATAACAATGGCATTACGCTGTATGTATTAACATAGGGATTAGTAGTAATAGCCGCTAGCAATGCATATCATATAATTGATAATTTTTAAAATAGGTCCACTTATTATTTTTTTTTAAATAATGTCTTGTATTAATAGGTACGTGATTCTGTGGAGCCGTCGTTTTCTATGAATGCCTTATCTTACACCTACTGCCATCCTAACAAAGTCTACATCATCACAGGTGGCCTAGGTGGCTTTGGATTGGAACTCTCGCATTGGTTAATACACAAAGGTAAATTAGTGATGCAACAGATTTTAAATGAACTATTAATGAATGGTGATGATACTGTTGATATGTAATCATGGTACAATTATGTAATGAGGCTAATGATTGGTGTTGATGATGGTGATGATGCTGATTCTTGATGGCGATGGTGGTGTGATAAAGAACAACAATGATGGTAAGGAAGACATTGATGATGTAGTGACTTTAATGCAGTGATATTACTGTACTAACATATGTTTATACCTCTGTCTATCTTCTACAGGTGCAAGGAACCTTGTGTTGACCTCTCGCTCTGGAATCAAAACCGGTTATCAAGCCTTATGCGTGAAAGGCTGGCGTGAGAAGGGCGTTAATGTTGTTGTATCGAATCGTGATGTATCCAAACAGGAAGAAGCTGAACTATTGATTAAAGAGAGCAGTCAAATTGGACCAATCGCTGGTGTTTTCCATCTAGCAATGGTAGGTATTTATTCTGGGCTTTTATCTGATAATGCATGCTTTAGACATCAAACAATGTACATTATTTCCATGAGTCGCTGTTTGTCAGATATATATAACTATCAAAAACATTGGTACTAGTGCATGTTGAAGGCAGGGGCGCGGCAACCTGCAGCCATAATATTGGCGCTGGTTTGGATGACACGCTCGCCTATGGGTCTGGCGGTAGAACAAGTTCCATCGGATAAGGATATGAACTGTAGGTTCAATGTACACAATTGGCTTATTTGCACTATAAAGAATCCAGTACATCTTTCGAGACAAGTAGGGGGTTACCCCGGTGTAATGGTTCATCTCACAGCCCCTGCCCTCATGCAGATGCTGAACAGGCATTGATGAGTAACTGAATAGAGTTAGAATTAGTGTTACTACTATTTTCTGTATTGCAGGTGTTGAGAGATGGAATGTTTGAGAACCAGACTCCTGCAGACTTTGAGGCTGTCTGCGCTCCTAAAGTAACTGGCACCGCCAATTTAGATACAGCAACTCGTGCTCTGTGTAGTGAAGAACTAGACTGGTTTGTGGTATTCTCTTCTGTAAGCTGTGGGCGTGGTAATGCTGGTCAGGCTAACTACGGATATGCTAACTCAACTATGGAGAGGATCTGTGAAACGAGGCGGCACAATGGCCTGCATGGTGAGTGATTTAATCCGTGTTCACATTGGATGAATTTTGACCAATGCGAAGGGTAACTTTACCTTGTCTAAATCGTATCAAAACCTGCACTTGGCTTTATATATGATTTAGGTTTTACCAAGACTGCTGTTGCTAAATACTCTTCATCATATCAAATGCCCAATTGAAAATATGGATGAGTTTAAATTTTTACTATTGGATGCACAAATGTATGATTCAATTGTTGATGCCAAAACAATTTTATTGTGTGAACAAAGAATTATATTCCTTTATAAAGTTTGCTCAAAATAATCAGGTAACACAGTTTGCACCATATTGTTTGGCAGCTTGTGTGTGTGTTTATATTGTTTTGATGGAATGACTCTTCTCTTTCATAGGCTTAGCTATCCAGTGGGGAGCTATTGGAGATGTCGGTGTAGTACTAGAGCAGATGGGTGACAATGAGACAGTCATTGGTGGAACTCACCCTCAACGTATCTTATCCTGTCTGGATACCCTTGACTACTTCCTGACCACAAACCACGCAGTAGTCTCAAGCTTTGTACGTGCAGAGACTAAATCACACTCAAAATTGGACAAATCCAGCTCGTTGGATCTTGTAGCTGTTGTCGCGAATATTCTTGGCGTCCGTGAGCCTTCATCCGTCAAGCCAGACACGACACTCGCTGATCTTGGCTTGGATTCGTTGATGGGTGTCGAAGTGAAACAGACGCTGGAGAGAGATTTTGAATTGGTGATTGCAATGAAAGACGTACGATTGCTAACGTTTAATAAACTCAAAGAACTATCAACTAACAGTAGTGATATGTCACCTTCAGTACCATCTCCTGCAGGTCGAAGTTCACCAACATTGCCAATACTGCCAGATGGAATTGGTATTGCGTTAGTGCCACATAGTGACCAGAGGACGTTAGTTAAATTAAATTCCGTTGAAAACGACCAAAACCCAGTTTTCCTGATCCATCCAATGGAAGGTTCTGTGAATATTTTTAAAGATTTAGCCTTGTGTTTCTCCTCTCCTTGTTACGGTCTGCAGTGCTCTGCAAATGTCCCAGTGGAATCCATACAGAACATGGCTGCAGATTATATACAGAACATTCAAAATTTACAGCCAGTGGGACCCTGGACTGTCATTGGCTACTCCTATGGCTGTTGCATAGCAACTGAAATTAGCCTCCAGCTACAGGCACAGAATACTTACTTGACTAATAACAGTTTAGTGTTACTTGATGGTTCACCAGAATTTGTCAAAGTTCACTTCGGAAAGTTTGCGCAAAAATTGTCGCTGGAGAAGAATGAAGATGGCGTTGATGTTGGGCTTGAGTGTGGCACTGAGATTGCTTGTATATGTAGTATTGTTGAGAAATTTATTGAAGCTGATTTTACTCAGGTTAGCCATTATTTTCTTCTTCTTTGCTTTTTAAAATTTTGTGTGTTTAGTAGCAAATTGGACCCTCAGTTGATGGATACGATTCTTGTCTTCTAATTGGCCAGTCCACACTGCAATATTTCTTAGAACCAAGATTGTGGCACCAGTGGAGGGATGGGGGTAAAACCACAACTCGTTGAGTGGGGAGGGGGAAATTAATTGTATTATCAACATATTAGTATCTATAAAATTGTTTAAATAAGCCTTTGAAACCCCTAAATTCTTATATTTTACAAGGCGTTCATCCCCTGGACCACTTTTGAAACATTTTGAGTGATGCCCAACCACGCCCACCTTACTCTCATTGGGGACATTGCTCCCCCCTCCCGAAATACTTTGTGTTTATTTTATAGAATGCACAACACTAGCAAATATTCGGTGTACTGCACAATTGACCAAGAAGGTGGTGCTTCCCCCAGGTCCCAGCCTAGCCCATTTTTCCTTGTTACACAATTAGAATAAATTATTATTTTACCTTATAGTAAGGATTATGTAAATTTTGCCATTTTTATTTCTTTATATATAACTTGTTTTTTTTCTTTATTGCTAACAATTATATATTTTGTTTTTGATTTTATGTCTTATTTTAATTACATTTTTTGTTTTTATATCACTGTAGCTGATTAGTGAATTGATTGCTTGTGCTGACTTAGATGCTAAAGTTAATTATGCAGTCAATTTGATCCTACAACAACATCCAAGTCTCAAATCGGATGACCTACAGTTTGCCATGGAATCTTACATCAAGCGAATGAAAGCATCACAGATCTATGAACCAAGAGAGCGTTTCCACGGCTCAATTCACCTCCTCAGACCATCCGATGGATTTAGCGGCAAAGACACTGACGACAACCTGACCACGGATTATGACTTAAGCAAAGTAAGCACATGCTTTTGTAAATTTGTGTACCTTTATAAAAATTTGGCAGTATGCATTATTAACTAACAATAACATTGTAACGATGAAGGTTCTTTTAAATAAACAGTGATAATACATCTTAAATATTAAAAAAGTGGAATCAGTCAGTGAAAAATTATCATAACTAGGGTGTTTTCTGTTTTATGCCTTAACTATAACTGCGTCACTTTAAGTTTTGTTTGGAATTTAAAGCAATTTTTACTTTTGCATATGCACTTCACAGCACTACCTCTCTACTCACCACTATATTTATATATATGTACAGTACTGTATATGTATTTATACACAAGATATATATACATTACGCAATTCTATAAAGAATGCAATGCCACGACGTGCGCGCGACGGATTGTTTTTAATGATGAAAAGTTTAGACTGCCACCTACAATTACGGTGTCGCTTCGTCTAGCACTCACAGGGATTCATACGACGGTTGCACGAACATCATACCGCCGCAGGGAGTAGCTGCATTCATTGAGCTTGTGTGTGCTTACAGTCCTTTTGTGTACCCTCCTTTTTTTCTGATTCCTTTGTCCACCGTGATGTTTCTGCTATGTTAAATGTTTATTAAAATAATTAATCTTGCAGGTTTGTTCTGGTGACGTCAAGGTTTCCTATCATTCTGGTGACCATGAATCATTTATCCAGGGGGAGGAAGCACAACACATAGCAAAGCATATAAATAAAGTAATCTTCTAAAAAGGCAATAGTAGCTCCTTAAAATTAAGTCACTTACCCCTCTACAGTACTACCATTGAGTATTAAAAATACTTGCAAGTGTAGCATATACATAATGCATTTGTTAGCCTAGCATCTTCCTCTACAACATTGACTCTTTGGCCATTATTCATGAATAATGCTGAAACTATTGACCAAAATTGAATATATTAAAAATGTCCTGACCTAAGGTAAACAAAAAGAAGGTGATGGATGCATTTTCTACTACTGTATATATTTGCTAGATATTGGAAAACAAACTAAAGAATCTGCAGCTGATGTAGATATACTTAGACAAGAGAGGGCACTATTGCATGACTGAAAATTGGTTTAAAAACTTTGGTTTCAGATGACGTTGATGCATCTCAGAAGAATCTCTTGGTAGAAACACTTAAATATTATTATACATTTATTTGTCTCTTCCTATGATTTGTTTTTAATTAAAAAAAAAAAAACAAAGATGGAAATTGTGGATATAAATACATGATTGTAAACATTTTATTTTTTCCCCAAATCATTTAATGTATTTTCATTTATGTGTATACATTTATAAAAGCTATTTTGAACTTGATTATGATTAGTGGATTTTGTGAACATGATCGTAAACCTTGGAGGATCAATTTCAAACTATGAAGTCATGTTTAAGTTATAGTATATAATTACAGTATTCAAATTTGTTTGTGCAATACATAATACAATATTAATTTAATATACAAAATAATTTAATAATAATCACAATAAAACACTAGCACAAAATAATAAAAAGTACTCTATTTACAGATCACTGTTATGCTTATTTCTTATACTTTTTTACTTTAGTTTATTTGTAATATACAGTAGCATATTGTTGTATTGTTTTTGTTATCCAATAAGAAATACACTTGGCAATTACAGATTTTTGTTAAATTTTCTAATAATGGAGCTTTCCACTAAGCCCCAACCGTTGGATATTGTGTCCAAGGTCCCACAAAACGACAGTGTAAGTTACCTTGAATGATTTGTGTTGCTAATTTGCATCACGATGACATCTTGCATTCAAATAAAAGAATAAGTCTGTGCATCAATTTTGTTATTTTCTATTCTGTCATTTGCGTCGTCCACAAGCACTACAACACTTTAATTCAGGGGTGGGCATAAAAATGGTTTGGAGAGCCAAAGTGAAGTTTTTATTTAACATCGAGAGCCGCACTTAAATATTGATGTTTCCAGTCTGCTTGCAAAATCCTTCGTAATAATAATAATTAACAATGATGATGGTAGACTTTTTGAGCCGCATGTTATTGAGTCCTCTATGCGCTTAACATAAACGTGAAAATACGGACAAAGAAAGTAATACTTAATCTAACCCTAAAGACTAACTAATCCTACTCCTTAAACTAAGCATGGTTTGGCCATTGACTTCGAGGAGCTCATCCGCCCTATGTTTAGCTATTTGTATACTGCTTTTATACAGCTTTTTTCTCAGTTCTAATATTTTTTATAGATGATAGGTTTTGTGCCTTAAAACAAGGTGTTTTCGTGCCTTGAATGGTTAGCGGGATGCACACAGGGTTTTTAATTTTTTTTCAGAGGCAGTAACAAAATCACTGACTGGCCAAACTTTACTCACATGTGCTTTATTTACTATACAAGTTATTAAAAAATGTATTATTAGGCGTCGGTCTTGCACACACAACCAGTGGCGTATGTAGAAGTCTTGAAGTGGAGTGCTGATTGGGGGGGGGGGGGGGGCTGAAGTGGGAGAGGGCTCGATGATCAGCACTAACTTGCTACTGTAATTTCATAGAACTATCAAGTTTACCATTGATATATCTAAGCACTCAGTTGACTTTTTGGACACTACAGTTAAGTTAAATAATAATAATAATAACTTCATTTATTAAAGCACAAAACAATATCCATTAAAAATGTTCATCGGCGCTGTACAGAATTTAAAAATATTCATAGACCAACATACACTTTAAACATATAAGAAATATACATTAAAAGCCAATAGAAACGTTTGAAACCAATAATCATCACAAAATCACAATACCATTTAACACATCAAAAATCTACATTGAAATAAAAGAAAACGCGACATGAAATAGAACGATAAAACACTGAATTTTTTGTATTTTGTAAAAGAAAAAGACAAGTCTACCAAACCATCAAAATTTACATCAAAAGGTTAAAAATGCCGAAAAAACAAAACTACAGTACATCATGTGTCTTGGAGATTTAAAATAAAAAGCAATTAAAATGCAAGGCTATATACAGTACATCATGTGTCTTAAATTTAAAATAAAGAGCTTTTAAAATGCAAGAATATACAGTTGTCAAGTTTCATGAAGCTGAACTACAAGTTGAATATACCTGACCTACAGAAAGTTAAACATTAAATCTCTTTTTAAATAAATGTGTTTTCATCTTAGTACATCCATATATAAGAAACCTACTGACACCCTACAATACTTACACGCAACTAGCGCACACCCTAAACATGTTACTTTGTCTATCGTATATAGCCAATCCCTCCGTTACAACCGCATTTGTTCTGATACAACAGAGATAATCATTTAACAGAACTAGCTAACACATTTAAGAAACTGAAGTATGACTCACAAGTAGTTGTCAAACAGATAGAGAAAGCTAAGCGTATACCACGCCAAGACATACTGTAATACAACGAAAAGACATCCTCTAACCATAGAGAAAATAGAACAGTTCTATTCTGTTCTATTTTCTCTATGCTCTAACCGCACACCGTTAATACCTACGTATCAGATGGGTTTCTCATGATCTAGATCTTCTGAAAGCATGCTGAGCATCCGCAACTAAAGAGTGTTTTGTTACGTGTCTCACAATGTGGCTGTCTATACTGCAAAAATTACTTAAAACTTGGAAGAAACGTTCATATTTGAAACTGGTTTGATTTTACATTGTTGCTTTAAGTTACTTTTCCTTGTTATTCTTTTCTGTGTTCCTCCATATTTAATAGGCCTAATTTTTAAGCCTTTTGTTTTTGTTTTATCCTAATTTTGTTTTTCATTGATACTTTTGTTAGCTTTGTGTAAATTGATTATGCTTTCTTTAACACAAGCAATTTTTTTTCTCCTACATTATTTAATTGGTCAAATTGTTTTTGTTTCATCCTTTGTTTAGTTTCGTAGATACTTTTTAAATTAATTATTATTATAATGTTTAAAATAATTTGCAGGAGATACATGTTAATGAGATTATGTGGTAATTACTTGGATCTGATTTCTTTCCTTTTTAAAGATTGGGGTGATGTTGGCCTGTTTCAAGTTTTGCGGGAGCTCACTGTGTGTGATGCTTTGATGGAAAATACATTTTAGAGCAGGAACCAGCTCCGAGGCAGTTGTCTTTAGTGCAGGGTATTCCATCTGGTCCGATAGATTTATTCGTTTTTAGTGATTTGAGCAGTTTTTCATTACCTGCAGCTGGGATAGGTGGCATGTCTGGGTAAGGACTTAACGAGTTGTGCATGCTTTAATCTGTAGAGAAAACACTTGGAATTATTGGTCAGCCAATTTTTTCGCTTTTCCTCATCAGTAATGGTCTCGGACCCGATCTGTGTCTGTATTCCAACGTGGCCTTTGTTACGTGATTTGACATACTTTCATAATAAATCTCCAGATGTTGAAAGTTTAGATATGTACTTTCTGTTTGATTTTCTGAGCTCCCTGTCAACCTTTCGTCAAATATTATATAACATTCGGCGGTACCCTCCCTTTTCGCCCTTTGTACATTCTTTCTTTTTTTCCTACATAGGCCTATATTATTTTGTGTGTTTGTGTAAACCATGGAGTATTATGTTGTTGTTCAGCTCCTCGAGGTGTTAATATTAGGTGCTATATAAACATTGATTATCATTATTAGTAAGATTAATATCAGACCGGGAATTTCCCAGGCTGTATTTGCGCATGCACAGTCAAACCAAAAATTGTTTCCTGTTAAATAAAATAAGTGATACATAAGTTCATTACCATTATTTCCTTGGCCTCGATAAGAATAATGATGTCCCTAGTGGACTTAGTTTATTAGAATATATTCATTTAAGGTGAAATTACTGTATCTTTACACCATAGTTTATTTAATGTGTATGTATGCCAAATATCAATTTTACGTTAGCTACTATTGAACATTGTTCAGTAGTCATTAATCAAATTGTTTGTAATCCTGTTGTTATGAACCTATAGTTACAGTACACATGGAAACCGGTCATCACAGCAACCGAGAAATGATTTGAATCTTTTTCTTCAGGTCGTCTAATAGGCTTGAAAATACCAATATAAAAACGATTAGGTATAATTGATTGATTGTTTTAATAACGTGTCCCTTCGATACCAAGAATTATGCTGCTCTGAACCATGATTCTTAATAGTCGGCCCGCGAGCCAATTTGGCCCATGGAGGCAATTTAATTTGGGCCTTGAGGAAAAACAAAATAATGAAAACAAATATTTAAAACATAAAAAGTTCGATGAATACATTTTCAATGAAGTGCAGACAAAAATGTAACCCATATGTAATGTGCACGACGGAGTGGTTTGAAAATCAGCCAGATTATATAATAGAATAGAATAAATAGCGCCAGAAATCGGTCACTGAGTACTTTCCGTGGTCCTGTTTTTCACTATGTGCTTCAAACCAGCCAACAAGCGAGTTATGATTTAGCGGTTACCCCAGTCAGATCTAAAATTAAACCCTGTGAACAGAACTAAAAAAAACACCCAAGATTGGTATTAATTCTTATTAGCTCTGCTATATTTAACACAGCGGCCCAGAGGAAGTAAAAACTTTATCATATACATCTCTTGATCCCTGATTCATGACCCATGTTAGAAGTAGCTCGTTGTTATAAATCATAGAGGTAAAACGTCTATTGGGTTTTATCATCAATGACAATCGTAAGCGTACTTGTTTTACATAATAGACAGCTGGTGAACCAAAGAGCATTCCTTTAAAAATACATTTCGATTATCTTGCAAATATTTAAGTTCTGTCTCAGTGTTTTGATCTGATCATTGTGTTTCGTCAAAGCCTTCTTTTCAAGTCATATAGTATTATGACCACCACGACTTTTGTGCTGCCAAGTTCCATCTCTGTATTTTGTTCTTTATCTGCAGTGATTCGTTATTGGAAGAATTGCTTCACAGTTAATAAAACGTTATGCTCATTAAAATACATTTTCTATAGCATGATCGGCGCGTACGGTCCCTGTGTGCTTGCGGAAAATTTGTTGTATTTTGACTGATGACACGTCCACACAGAAATTTCCCGCGAAACAATTTTGGGTCATGACCGCTAGTGTAGGCCTATTACAATTTAAAAAATAGGCCTCTATAATTTCAAATTGAAAAAAAAAAAAGAGCTTTCAAATAGACCTATCTTAGCGAAAAGAGTTTCACCCAGATGTATAACGATTGCTTTCAATTATTATCTTTGGTCCCGTCAGATGAACTCAAAAATGATTTGGCCCTTCGAACAAATTAATTAAGAACCAGGGTGATAATACCAATCTGAATAAAATTACCATTGTTCTTTATGGTCCGATCAATGGTGTTGTAGCTATTTATCATCTGAATATCCGAATTATTAGTAGGCACTGTTTTAATCGATTTTAATAGGCTACTATGATGAAAAGAAAATGTACCTTTAGAGTGCTAGTAAGAGGGAACAGGTTGGCCTATCCGGGGCTCATTTTGGACATGGAGAACTCTGGGCGTTTCCCCAGAAAGCACACAGCTCCATAGCAAGGGGTCGTAGTAGGAGGTACTTCTAGTAAATCTGCCAAAGAGTGTGTTTGTGGGATTTTGGTCTATTTTGGATTTTTTTTTTTGTGGAAATTATAGAAACAGTTAGCGTATTGTTAAGGCATTGTAGTAGAATGCTGGGTAGTAGTAAGAGGGCCCCGTGGCCACTCCGGGACCTATTTGGACTGGGACTGGACACCAGAAAGCACATCCGTTTCGCCACTGTTAAGGCTCGTTAGTAAAATACATAGTAGAAAGAGCCGGGGCCCCTCATTGGCGGATCTGGAGGGGTCAGGGGGTCCTAAC